CACACACACACACACACACACACACAAATCTCTTACTGTGTTTGAGGGTGGAACATACAGACAAGTTGCAAGTCAATGGCAATTTTTCTTTATGAGCAGTTTATGAGTGTTCTCTCAAAACTTTAATAAAGCTTTAACAATGAGCGTGAGTTTGCTTGTAGTGCCTGCAAGTAATTAAGAAGAATCACTCTCATAAAAGAGGATTATTTTCTGCCTTATCTCCTGAGACAACAGCTGCTCTTGTTTGCACATTTAATATATGTACATATGGAACCATATTGCTTTGCTTTTTTTTTTTGTGATACCTTCATTGATGATAGCATTTTCCAAATGTAAGGGTTTGTGTTTTGGATTTTCTTTCAGGGGGCCTATTCATTGCTTCCTCCAGCATCACATATCTTGCTAGACATGGTCATAAATAGCACAAATTCTTCCCTATTCCAACACCGTACAGTTAAGGAGCTGTTGTGGGGTTACCATGACCCAATATTGAAAGACACCATCGGCCTATTTTCACCTGTGAGTAAACACTTGTACCAAATGGCAAATGCAGCATAAAAATCAATTATTTAACAAATTTGAATGAAATATGTTTTCCACAGTATAATGGTACCATTGATGGCCCCTACAATGTCTTCACTGGAAAAGATGACATTTCAAAAGTGTCTGTAATTGACAGATGGAGAGGAGAGACGTGAGTACAATTATGACTAAAAATACTGCATTTGAAGTCCGTATCTTTGATCAAAATTAGTTTAATGGACAATTAGATGTTACATGTATTTTAACTACAATCATTTATTTATTTTTGTTGTTAAATCCAATTGTCAATTGTCAATGTTTCTGACAAATTCAATCTTGTCCCACAGGAAATTAAGCTTTTGGAATGATACATATTGTGACATGATCAACGGGACAGGTACGTAGGATAAAGTAACATGTGTTCATGTACATGTAACATATTTCTACAGCTCCTGATGCAGATGAATTACCCTTATGAACAGATTTTTCCCTGATTTTTTTCCTTAGATGGTTCTTCCTTTGCTCCGTTTATGGATAAGGATGTACCCATCTATTTCTTCTCATCAGACATCTGCAGGTGATAAATAATTTCATTTGTAGGTAAAATTTAATTTGATCGTGCCTGATATCAAGATCTCTTGATATTTCCTGGAAAGGCAAGTGTTGGAGCTTTACTGTAACCTTTGGACTTTATCCTATCAGTAACCACTAGGGGTCAGAGCTTTCTTATATACTCCTGTGTCAATAAAGTTGCCCTGTGGAGCCAAAGATGAACCTGAATTGACTTCTTATCTGTTTGTCTTCAGGTCTGTGTCAGCTAACTATGAGGCAACTATGAATCTTAAAGGTATTGAGGTCTACCGCTACAGCCTCCTACCATCCACTCTAGCCTCTCCAGTGGAAAACCCAGACAATAAATGTTTCTGCAGAAATTATGAAACCACCAAAAACTGCACCTTGGCTGGAGCGCTGGACATCAGTTCCTGTTCAGACGGTCAGTCAGCATACAGCATATCATGATCCAATTGGAAATTCATGCATCCTAAAGTTATAAGGATTTATCAGTCCGCCCAACAGCTTTTAATTCTGTGTTTGTCATCTTAACAGGTAGACCAATCGTCATCTCTTTGCCCCACTTCCTTCACGGCAGTGAATATCTACGGGAGGTTGTGTTGGGCCTACACCCAGATGAAGAGCACCATAAAACTTTCCTGGATGTGGAACCTGTATGAACCAATGTTATTTTATTTTATGTTTTTTTTTTTTACATTTTAGGAACAACAGGAGTTTGTAGATGCTAACTTTTATTTATTGTATATTTCCACTAGATTACTGGTTTTACCCTGAATTTTGCCAAGAGAATTCAAATCAATATGATGTATGGACCAGCAAAACACATTACGTAAGTTATGGTTCACCTTTTTAAAGGAATTAAGAGGTGAAAATTTGCTGTTTGTGTAGATTCAACAAAAATTCTGTGGAAGGATGCAGACAGACAGAACACAATTATGCCCCTCCAAAGCAATTTGTAACTCTTACATGACTTTTTTCAGTATGAAGGTGCCTTTTTGCAATCTTGTATGCCAGTTAAAGAATTATGAAAAATGTCCAAAAGGCTACAGTGTGGTGGCTTGAGTTACCAACAGGACTAAGCAGTCTAACTAAACAAAAAAAAAAAAAAAAATAGAGCTACTGAATCAAGAGAAAAATGACTTGGGCTAAGGAAAAATGGGATAACTGTGGGATCCTGGCAAGTGTTAGGCTATTATTTAAGTTAAGCTCAAGCATTTGGATAGCTTGTCTTGCACTGGAATGTGAATAATTTCGAAAACTATCGGCTATTTTCTTTACACGTGCCTTAGCTAACAACATCAGTTTGCTAATACATAGCATTAAACATCTTGGAGTTAATTTGACTTATGGCGTTACGAAAATAGCAAAATTAAATGTTTTTAGACAGTTAGAGGCATTTTGCTACTGTTTCAACCAAGCAATAATTGAATATAGTTATTTAGGTGCTTTTTATCTGTCTCAATGCATCTCTTGCCATAAGCTAACTATGGCTAACTGTAGCTTTAGAGAAATTACATGAAAGAGCTATTTATATTCTTATATTTACATAAGAAAGTGACTAAGCAAATTTCCTCATCTTTAAAACTAGCCAAAGAAAGACATTTTAAGAGCAGTGAATATGAATTAATTAACTCTTTGTCCTGCAGGGTGCTAAACAAAGTGAAAGATCACACGGTATTACCTCTTGCTTGGATGAATGAGGTACGTAAAAGTAAAAAAATATGCGAGAAGCCTGTTTGCTCACTTTTTTTTTAATAAGTCGTTTTTTCATATTCTGTGTCCTTTGTGTAACCAGACGGCAACACTGGATGATAAAACTGCTGACATGTTTAAGAGGGAACTTCTCTCCCGCCTTGATATGTTGGAGATAGTACAGCAAGTCCTGCTGATTGCAGGTGTGATCATCTTTTTGGTGTGTTTAATTGCCTTCTTCTGTGTGAGGAGGAAAAGCAAAGCAAACCTTGGATGAATGAATCATTCATTTTACTGTTTGTTGTATGAGCACAGTGCATTGAAGCTGCTACATCAAACGTTTTGATATAGACTTGCACTTTTTTGGAAATTTTTGCGTTATTTTGAATTATTATACCTCCTGTGATAACTGGGAGGGATACTGTGATTTTGTAAAGCTGTAAAGAACTCATTTGCCAAGTATCATTTTAATTGCAAACACTGTAATATTAACTGTATCAGGGATTTCTAGAGGGAGAGCACATGGAAACTACTCTTAACTGTCAGGTAATGCATCAGACCTCTGAGAAGAGAGACGTGGAATAGTTTGCCATCTATGAAAGAAATGTACATGAATTTAAATATTATGTGAATGTATGCTTTGCTGAACTAGTGTATTTAAAATAAATAAATACTGGAAAAGAGAGACTGTTATCCAATACCCTATTCCTGTATTGTTCTTTATAATTACCAGGATATGAAAGCAGATCTGCCGTATATTCCCTTTGGTCAGGATACAGCTTGCATGGCCCCCCTGGCTAAAACAAATCTCTGCATCTCATGCTTTACCTTGAGTGGCCTATAAATCAGACAGAGTGATAAAATAAAGCTGGTGGGATCACTATACTCTGGTTGTGAATGGAACTTGTGATTGCTTGGTAGGAAAACAGTATTTCTGCCACTCTTTAGTAGTTTTAAATGACCCTCTGCAGGGTCCTATGGGTGTCTTTGAGTCTGCTGTTCCACAAGAATCTTGCTTGTCACTTAAGGCGTTTTATTGAGATTAAAAAAAGGCAAGTCTCTTTGCACTTATATTTGAGATTTGGTGTACAAGGCCTGTTTGAAAGTCTGAATCCTTTTAAGTTTCCATGTCCAGGTATGATCTAAATCTTTGGCAACTTTTAATGTTGTCTGTTTGTGAAGTACAGTGCTGTTAGAGCTTTTGCTACACTTACAGCACTCTTGGATCTACTCTTATATACACTTGCATGAGTGTTTCATGTGATTTCACTGTGAACTTTAAATTGAAAGTTAAACTTGGCTGTCCAAATCTTTGAAATAAGCATCAGTGAATACTGGCGATGATATTTGGTATCCAGCTACTACCCAGGGACTAAATTGCAGTTTTCAGTGGAGTCCACAGGGTTACACACCAGAGGCTCAACAAAAATTTAAGCTCAATCTCCCTACTAAATCCTCAGGCGAGCAATTTTGTCCACTCAGACAAAGCCTCCAAACTGGTACTGGTACAGGAGTGGAAACTTTTGAAAAAGAAAGCATGGAGTCCTATTTGAAAGTTTTCTTGCTTATCCATGACTGTTTGCATTTTATTGTGATTTTCTATCCAGGTATACTATTGCATAGTGAATCAAAATCTGATGGCACTTTAATGCATTCATAATTCCATTAATTTCACACTCATTGTTGTACCTTTTTCTGTGCATACTGATACACTTTGAACCAAAAATGTAAAATTCAGACCCGTTGCCAACTTTTGTACAGTACTGTAGTATTAAAAATGTACAGCACCAATAGAAGTTTGGCTTGTGCTGTGGTTGTACAGTAAACACTAAGATTTGTTGGTAAAACTGGGAGTGATCTGAACACATTTATTCAGGCTACCATGACATTAATAAATAGAAATACATATTTTTCATAAGACTAAAATTACACTGTTGACATGATGCTGGAGAGATCTGTACGTGAGAACGCTAGAAAGTCTTTTTCTCAAAATCAAAATAATACTGTATGCCTCTACAATTTGCAGACACAGTCGCAGTTAGTTGGCGAAATATGTTGAAATTATATACACATTTAAAACACAACACCTGGCACAACATTAAATTAAAAGAATGAAACATCCAAACAAACAGAGAAACAACAACAAAAAGCTCTGTACACAAGCAACAAATAATCGCTATCTACATTAACTATGCTTAGGGGAAAAAAAATTGGCTTTTCACATATGTTGAAGGCTCTAAATCACAGACTACCTCACTGACAATTACTACTTCTGAATTAAAAGTATGTCCAAGTTGCTGGAGATAGCTCAGAAAATGTGGATCCAATAACGGATACTGTCGTGTTTCAGCAGCTGCGTAGTTTTACACTAATTAAAATGTGCGTATCTGCTAGCTTGGTTGCTAAAATCTTACCGAGGCGAGGATTTAAGACACCTTCTATGAACATGCGTCTGTGTTGGAAATGAGAGAATTGTGATACAATATGCAGATTACACATGAGGCACATATTCATACAGTACATGTACATCTGAGTAGTAGGAATAAATATAGACGACATGTATGCAACAAGAATTGCCATTTGGATAGCATCAGCACTGGACGTAAAGCTTGGCCTTTGAACAAATAGAGTTTTAACTTTCGTCCCTCCAACACCACACTTTTTATTGCCGTGGGCTCTTAGCATGACCTCAAAGTCCTGTAGAGTGTCCCATAATTTAATCGTTTGGTTAGTTAAAAAATAAAATATTCAAAAAGGAGTAGCATCTAATAAACATGCATTTGCCTATTGCTCGTCCCTTTTCAAACAGCTCCATTTAACACAAGCTTTTTAAATGACTTTCCTCTTCTTTCAAGAAGCACAAATTGACTGTGAGCTTTTGTCCAACTAGTTCAAATTCTACTCCCGCTTTAAAATATAGCGGCGACCTGACATGTATTATGGTTAGCAATGTCAGCAGAGACAACAGATTCTTAGTGGCAGTCATAATAGGGCTGCTTTGATTTGTGTTGTGACTGTGAAAAAAAAAAAAGAATGGCTCATGTCACAGCCTTCTGGTCACAGTACCTCATGCAAAAAAAAAAAGGACATATTGCTATATAACATTTCCCCATGCTTCTCCCTCTAATGTCTATCAACTACGGAGCTCTGAGGTTGAGATGAAAGTTGGAATATGGGGATCTGTAACTGTTTTGTGGGGACTACAGGAAGTTGTGCATGTCCGTTTTTGCAGCTGCAAGCTCCTTCTGTCAGTCCTCTGGGTGATTGCGTCTATTGCGGCTCTTCCTCCGGTCCAGCAATGGTTTCAGTTTGGCCAAATCCCCTCTGAGAGGTCCGGGCGGCTCCGATGGCTGCTGCTGCTGCCTCTGTTGGAGGTTCTTGAGCTCCTTTCTCTCTTTGCAGTATTGTTGCACTGCCAGGTTCTCTGTGGGACTGAAGGCTGCCAAAAGGACCTTGGGGTGCAAAGAGCTGGCCCATGCCCAAGGCGACTGCTGCTTGTCTGTCAGCATGCTCACCATGGCTTCACTCAGCACATGCAAACGGATTTTGGCGACGGTGCGTTTAAAGCCATTCTCGGAGGTCAGGCAGTAGTAAAGACCCTGGTCGGACAGCTGCACAGAGCGGATGAGGAGGCCGTGCTCGGTGGAGAGGACGCGGTCACTCAGCTTAACCTGCAAAAATATACAACAAAAATCCTGGCTAAAAAATGCAGATTTAAGGGATCACTTAATGATTAATAAGATAAGATTCTTTATTGTCATTATTCAAGAATGTACAGCAAAATTATGGTGCACCGCCAGGATAAGGACTCTTTGCAATCAGCTAATGAACACCTATGAGAAGACTAACATTTTTAACATTAATAAAGGGACTATAGCTTGTAAGACCGTTGTTTATTCCTCTAGTATGGTTATTTTTTACTTTAATTTGTCACTCAATAACATAGGGCACAGATTTATTGCATGATTGGAGACATTATAGGAGAGAGACTCTTAAGAAATCCTGATAAGAAGCCTGTCAGAAAATTGTGCAATGGCAAGGATGACCGTTGTATGACTTGTCACACCCTCAAAAGTCAAATTAGGAAACATGTTTATTCATTTATGCATGTGCTTTTATCCACTGGATAGATAAATGCCTGTAATAAATATCTTGGTGCTATCAAGAGGGATGGCGAGTGGCGAGACTTGACTAGGACATTCGAGTCTCAGTTATTCGTGATTACTGATTAGAAGATCAGAAGATGGCAAACTGTGAATGCATAGTCAAAGGAGCTTGCAAAGAAAAGCGTCTGGACTTCTTTAAGTTACTTGAAGACGTTTCAC